GCAGGCGCATGGACACCCTCTGCTTCCAGTCCCAACAGCCACCGGAAGAGGGGTCGCGGCTCCTCACCCGCCTGCGTTACGGAGGCCGAGGCCGGGGAGCCTCATTCACACTTGGAAATCAGAATTGGTCCTTTTCCCTTGCGTTCAGACTTACTTTTCTTTTCATACAGTGGTTGGGCTTTTCTCCTCCTGAGAGCTGGGACAAGAGAGGCTGGGGAGGAAGGAGCAGGGGAGAGTGAAAGCGCAGGACAGACCGTCCCCTGACCCCGGCGCGGTGCGCGGTCTCTGACTGGAGCAGTGATGGATCATTAAGCCCAGACTGAGGACAGGCTCGGGAGGGAGGCTTCCGGGGCGCTGCGGGGACAGGGGGCGGGAGCTTGCTTTCTTCCACAATAAGATTCAGAGAATAATGTTAATTGTTACCTTAGGTGTGTGGAGTGTAGACTCTTTGTGAAATAAGAGAAGCGTTTTTTTCACTGTGACTAAGGAGAGCATGATGGGTGTGTGAAGGCTAGAACTTTCGAGCTCCTTACACTGAAGCTCGGTGAAGCCATCAAGCACATTCCCTGCAAATTGGCACCTTCAGTTCAAGCCTCCACATCTTTGTGGCGCAGTCGGGGTCATAACCACCCGCGCTGAGAGAAAGGCACGCTGGCTGGCAGGGGCCGCTCACCGCACAAAGCCTTCTTTGGTTAAAAAAAAATGTATACAATAAAAAAGAAAATTGTTTAAGCTTAAAAACTAAAAGAAAGCAGTTGGCTCCCTTGTTGAAAGGTTTTGTAAAGCAACAGCAAGAGGGAAAAAAAATAAAAACTAAAAACTCGATGGTCCCAGAGTGCTGAGAGAGGGCCAAAAATATTAATATCCAGGAACATGGCAAACCTTCTGCAAGCTGTAAACACTGCCTTCGTTTCCCACGTATAATCAACAAGTCTGTTTTCTCCCTCAGCTCTCCCTTCAAACTTCCTGTTGGAAATCTATGCTGCAAAACACTTTTGCCAAATAAAATCAAAGCATCAGGGGAAGAAGTTGTGTCCATGAATTTTGTGTTTCAAATATCATAGGGAGGAGGTTTCAACCCCTAGAACCAGGACAGAAGGATATGGATCTATATAAAGCACAGAAAAACAGACCACCAGAAATAAAAAAATAAATAGAATTTCATCTATGTGAATGCATTCATTCGCTGAGCATGGTAGGCACACTGATGAAGACGTTCACAGCGGGTAGGGTAGTCACATAAGGTACAGGACACCCAGCTGAATTTAATAAACAATAAATAATTTCTTAGTATAAGTATAGTATAGGTATGCTGTAAGAAATCCAAATTTAACTGGAAGTCTTGTATTTCCATATGCTAAATCTTGCAACCCTACTGATAGAAGGTGCTGGTGGTTATGCTAATTAAGGATTAATAATGCACACTCCAACTTGACAGCGAGTCCAGGCTCTGTTCACACTTAATTGAAGCAAGTCGGTCCCCATCAGTCAGGAAGGAGCCTTCAGGAAAGTCCAGGGAGCTGGCATCTCGGGGTCCTGCATGATCTCGGTCTTCTACCAGCTCCGCCTGCCTGAAGCACAGCAAGGAGAAACCTCGCCTTCTACAGACGTCACCTTGGAGAAGCCAGAACTGAGCTGCTTTCCCGCCTGCTGTTTGCTGATCAGATTCAACCCGCACAGCTAAGCTTCAGCCACTCGGAACTCATCCAGAGAGAAGAGGACTGGTCAAGGAGACAGGAAGACCAGGATATGTTGACTCCCCCACCCTCCTGCAGGGTCCCACCCCTGGGAATGTGGAGCCATCCTCTAAGGAAAAAGTTTATGGTAAGACGGGGGGGAGGGCTTTGGGGTTTGGTTCAAATCCTTTCTCTTCCACTTATGGTTTGAGCCAGTTTTTCCTTCTGTGAAACGGTCACAAATGAATCCCTCCTACACAAATTTCATGAATCTCCATGAAGTCAGATTGTGGGAAGCATCCAGCCAGTGAATGCTGGCGCCATGATGGTCACTACGTCACTGCAGGGGCCTCAGGGCAGGGCCCGGGGAGCAGTCCCAGGAGAGTGTAGGGCTGGTTCCTCTCTCACGTTTCAAGAAAGAAGGAACCCTGCCTTCCAGCCCAGTCCCCTGACCGTCCACAGCCTCATCTTCAAAACTGACATCTTCAAGAAGCCAGCCCCAGTTCCACTCAAAGCCCCATTTCCATCTGCCCACACTGTCCCCGGGACTTTTGTGTTTGTCTCTTGGGCTGAGGACCCCCTCCCGAGCAAAGGCTACCAGCATGCCATTCCTTGGGTGGCACTCTCCATTCCTGGTGAGGACCAGTCCTCCAGCCACTGTGTGGAGCCCTTTTCATTTGCTCCTCACAGCCTCCTAAGATCCCTATCAGCTCATGTTACAGGTGAGGAAACTGGGGCTCAGAGAGGTTACCCGGCTTGCCCATGATCACTGAGATGGTCCACAGTGGAGCCAGGATTTGAGCCCACATCCAATCTCAAAGCCTGTAAACTTAACCACCATTCTCTACCCACTCCTCACCCCGGACCCGTCCTCCAGGGTGCCCTGTGCAGATATTTCTAAGGAGAATGGGCAAGACTGGCAAATTCCTCTTTATCCTTCAAAACCCCACTCACTCATCGCCTCCTCTGCACTTTTCTGCCTCATCTGGGGCTCGCTCATGCTTTTATCTTGTAGGCTGCATTATCATGTGGCTGCATTCATACCCATGTCCCCTTCTTAACTGAACTCCTAGAAGACGTGCTTGCTTTTCCATTTCTGCACCTGACACTTTCCAGAGAAACTTCCAGCTGCACCAGCCTCCTTAGTGGTCTTCAAACACCCCAGGCTGGTTCCACCTCAGGACCTTTGCCCTGCACTTCCCTCCTCCACGGAGAACTCCTCCGATCCCTCTGTACGGGGCCCTCCCTCACCAGATCTGTGTGCAGACATTCCGTCCACAGAGAGGCCTTCCCTGATCACCAACTTAGAACAGTCCCTTCCACACCCCTTCATTTGACTCTCCTTTAGCCTCCTTCCCTGATTTCACTTCCTGGGCAGCACACGTCTCTCCCTGGCATTGTGCTGTGTGCCTCTGTTTATCTGTCTTCATTTGCTTCATCGTCTGTCTTCCCTCCAGGCGAGCCAGCCCCAGGAGGGCAACGACTCTGTCCGTCTTGTTCCTTCCTGCAACCCCGGGCATGTGGGAGGTGCCCAGCAAGCATCTGTGGAATGAACGAACCCTTGGTGTCCGGCACATGGACACTCAGTAAACGAATTTATTCTTCTTTTTTTTCTGTTTTGAGAAGAGGGAGGCAATTAGGTTTATTCATTCATTCATTCATTTATCCATGTATTTATTATTTTTTAACGGAAGTACTGGGGATCCAACCCAGGACCACACGCATGCTAAGCACACACTCGACCACTGAGCTATACCCTCCCCTGCTACAAATTTATTCTTAATTAGTCATTTTAACAGAATCATCTTAGAAGCATCCCAGAAGAGCTGCACTTTGCCTGCTCTGCAAGATGGCTCCTCTTTTCTTCCCAGCCATCCACTATTCACAGTCCTTCCCAGGATACCTTCCCTCCCTTTGTAGGAATGGCGACCTCAGAGAAAAGGCTGGGAAGAAAACCCCAGGCACACCTGGATACCTGTCCACCTGTGGCAGTCCAGCCCAGCGGGCCGGCTTGCTCAGCCATGGCCCTGGCAAGCTACACATTCACTGCTGAATCCCCGTGGCTCCCACTTGAGCCCCTGCCTGCCCCCTCACTATCTGGGCTGGGGCAGCAGTTGGGACCATCCCAGTTCTAGCCCTTTACCCAGCATTTCCAGCAGCAACGTAGAGCATCACACACCTGAAATGTGGGGAACGTCATTGAGAGGGGAAAACACATCCTCCCAACACCCCCATCAAAGCACAGACCTGCAGGTGAGGGAGGAGGCTAGGGATAGGAAGGTGGAGACACAAGCTGGGAGAGTCATTGGTACCCAGTGAGGAGATACAAGTGCCATGTCCTCTAGAGAGGTCTTGCTCAGTATCTGGGAGATGGCCTGTAGGTCAGCGGAAGCATGCTGCCTCCTCTCAGGCCCACGAGGCTCTGGACAGCCGCACATTCCGTGGTCGCCAGAGTAGAGGAACAGTCCCCGGCCCTATGCCGCTGATGCTCTTAGTGTTTTCTTTTTGACACATTTTTCAGTCCCAGACCTATGACAATGTGATGTGATGGAAGCTTGGGGGGGTGGGGGTCAATGATTCAGTCAACAAACACCAATTGAGCACCCCAATGATGAGGGATTGGTGTCCATAGGCATAAACGAGATAGTGTGGGGTGCGGGGTCCGGGGTCCCGAGGCAATATTATCTTTGAATTCCACTTGGAGATGGTTATAAAGAATGGATGCCAACAGAAGGGCAGGCGTGTATTCTCCACAAGCCACATGCGGGAAATCACAGCAGCATTGTCGTGGTGGCCCCAAACTCAACCCCCGTGCCCTCAGCATCAGAAGGGAACACTCTCCCGGAATGGAAGTGAACACACTCCCGCTGCTCACAGAGAGATGGATGAACCTCTCAAATGTAGCACTGGGCCAAGAAAGCCAGGCAAAACCGACACGGGAATGATTCCACTTACACAAAGCTCACGTTGTGGTGAAACAAATCTCTGCCAAGAGAAGTCGACAAGGCGGAGCTGGGGTGGACTGGAACGTCCTATTTCTTAACCCAGGCGGTGGTTACAGGGGTGTGTTCTCCGTGACAGAATCCATGAAGCTCGGTACTCTAGGGTGGGTACACCTGGTGTGTATAGTTACGTGACAGGTCTAAATTTTAAAGGAGAAGGCATAAGGTCTGGAGGTTTCCTCAAGGTTTTGTGCAGAGGAGGAGGCTGCTGCAGCCCGGTGCCAGGCAGGTGGGCTGGGAGACGGGCGAAGAGCGCAGCTGCGGACCGACTTTGGCAGCGGGCGCACGGACACAGCCCGCGAGAGCCCAGCGGCCCCAGCCCCGCCAGGAGCGGCGCCGTCTCCGCCTCCGCGTCCCGCGTTGCTTGGCAACCGGTCTCCCAGGCGACGCGAGACGCGGAGCCCAGGGCCGGAGCCCAGGGCCAGCGCCTGCGCGGCGAGCCGAGACCCCAGGCCCCATGGCACAGAAACCCATCGGCACGGAGGCGGCCGAGCGCATGAACCTCGTGGCGCAGGACGAGATCTGGTAACGCCCGGGATTCGGTAACCCAGTGGGCGGGGGCCGTCCCTACCCGACGTGCGCGCACCTGGAGGCCTCGCTTTTCCCCACCAATTCCTGGAGGTAGTCCTCTGCACGCGAGGAGCGTGCGCTGGAGGTGGTCAGGGGACCCGCGGAAAGGGAGCGGTGTTCGGGACGCCAGGGCCACAAGAGAGCCTTTCTATCTTTCTCTTCTCTGATGCACACCACAAAGGCCTGAAAGATTTTGCATCTGGCTTTACAACCCTCTGCAAAGCTTTCCTTGCTGAGAGCCGACTGATGTGTGCTTATTTTTAAGATTTATCAATTTTTTTTAAAAAAAATCGTAATATTCAGTTCGAATGAGAGCTACATTCAGTTCGAATGAGAGCACTTTACATCCTTGCTTGTCTTGGTGTTTCAAGTAACAAGAAATTTTATTGTAAAGAATAGATCAATTTTCTAAAAGATTTCTATTCAGTGGACATTTATAATGGATGTTTTTATTTGGCATTCTATCCCATTGCTGAATAGTATCCCGTCTCTTTGAAGTTTTAACCAATATGGGAAGTTACTAATTTAGATGCAAGTAAGTGAATATTAGCGCCAACAAACCATCACTAACCTTTTAAACTTCAGTTATCCTATATGTCATTGCTATGACTCTTACCATTTCCTTATAAACCCTGTAATAGTCACTTCATATTTTTCTTTAAATTGGCTTTATTTCACTTTAAAAAACTTATTTTTATAGGAAACTTTACATCACTCTTGAAAATGGAGAGCAAGTATTATTTGCCATAAAATACATGGCGATTTTTTTTTAATTCTTTATCCTAGTACCTGCAATAGGAAATACTACAATAGCAGGGTCTGTTCCTTCTGCCTAACATGCCCTTTTCTCCCTTCCCCACCAAACTCCTACTCATCCTCCAAGACCCAAATCAGACAGCCCCTCTTGTGTGAACAGAGCCAGTTAAGCCCTTACCCTGTTCTATCCCATGTCCAAAGTGGCTTTTGAGCACTTGAAATGTGACTATTCCAAACTGGAATGAGCTGTAAACATAAAATGTCAGATTTCCAAAATTTCATACGCCCAAAACGTGATACCAAAATTAAGTTTACCTGTATATTTATACTTTTAAAAAAAATCTGGCTACTAGAAAATTTGAAATTACATATATGGCTCATATTTTTGGCTCATGTTACATCTCCATTGGAAAATCTCTGCTTTAGATGCTCAGTGCCCAGGGAAAGAGCTTGGCCAGGGCATCTGAAACTGTTGAGACATGGGGCAGGAGGTGGAGGGGGGAGCAGGGGGTGAGGTGCAGATATTTTTTCCAAAATAGGCAAGGAAATTTGAAAATCAAGGTGAATAAATGTTTACTTATATTTTTGCAAAATGTAACACACCTGCTCTTCAATTGCAACTCCATCAGCTCACAGGTAGTTATATATAGATTATATTTAATGTGGAGCAAAAGCAGGGCCGGATTAGGGTGGGGTGAGTGAGGCACCTGGCGTACAGTATTTAAGGGGGGCTCGATCTTAAGGTCATGCAAGTGCCAGCTCTGCACTTGCAGGAACACGGGACCGGACATCTTAAATTTTCACTTCAGTGCCTCACTCCCTCTACCCTGGGCATTGCTCTGAAAACAGAGGTACCTCCATAATGCTTTAACACATGCCCATCACTGTGAGTCACAGGGGCCCCCCAAATAAGGAGTCTAGTACCTAGAGGACCCCTCATGCAGAATCAGCCCAGTCCTGTCTGCTCCCAGAGGTACCATCCAACCAGCATCTCTGGTTCTTAGACACGTGTCTGCCCCGCAGTGGTGAGACGTCCTCAGCGACAGGCACTCGCACTCCCTCCCCGGCACAAAATCATCATCCAGTCCGCGTGCGGTGAAGAGTGGAAAATCCTCCCCAGTGGACCTTTCAGGATTTGCGACTTTAACCCTTTTCGAATGTTGTCCAGCACTTAAGAGCTTTCTTTTGCAGGAAATATCGCCTGAAGGCTGAAAACGAAGCCCGGCAAAACTGGGCCCAGAACTGGGGATTTTTAACAACCCCCCTTGAGGAGGTAAATGTACATTTTATGAGCCCAGAAGTTATAGAATCAATCGTTTCTAAGAATAAACGGTTATGAAGTGTATAATTTGCAAGAATAAAATTAAGGAGCGTGTTGTCGGTGAAGGCGGCTGGCTCTGACCCCTGAAGGTTCCTGCTGTTCACGAGTTTCTTGAGAATGTGCCAGGCACGTTCTAGGTGCCTCCTCTGAACCAGCTCATTTAGTCCGCATGACGACCCCTGTGCAGAGGGGGGTGCTGTTGGATGCCCATTTTCCAAGTTAGGAATTTGAGCTCAAAGAAGTACAAAGTCACACAGTTAATAAAGGGAGGCACCAAGGGGAAAGCCATTCTAGCCAATCCCAAGGTCGCTTGGCCTCAGACCTCCCATCTGTAAAATGGGGTGATGGTCCTCACTGCCTCACTGAGTGACTATGAGGTTCAGACGGAATGAGAGGAGAAGCCAATGAATACTTGAGGGATTGTTAGGAAAATGCTATGGGTATTTCCTGCACGAAATAGGTAACAGACACGGGGGAGAGGACCAGGTGTGTGTGGGGACACCAGCAAAGAGACCACTGACCCCATCCAGAGGCAGCCACCACCAGCCCAGCTGAACGATCCCAGGTAAAGAAACTAGCTGCATATTCTGATTGTTCAGGAGAGTCCGGAAATCCACATGCTTTCGTGAAATCTTCTGAGTCTAGAATAGTGGCTCAGATTTATAAAACACCACACAGGTCCACGCAATGCTTGTGTGGGCTTCCCTGAGATGGCAGCTGGCGGTTTGCAACCTTTCAAACTACCCCCAGGACCCAACATGAGGAAGCCACATTTCTTTGGAGAGACGCAGAACTGCATAAAAGCCACATCATTCATTCAAAACATTCATGATTCAAGGCAGCGTAAACCCATTTGTAATTCACCCCATCCCACTAGCTCTGAAATTATGCCATTCTTAAAGAGTTTTTTTAAATACTTAGAGAGTTACGCAATTTGAAATGTTATGCATAAAATGAGTCCTTATTAATGTAATATGCAGAAGAGTCTATATTAATCTTCTTTATGTGTAATTAAATCAGGTTTTCAAAGAGTTCAAAACTGCTTTAAAAATTAAAAGGTGGGGGATGGGCACTCTCCACTGATATTTTAAAGATTGGTCCTGGAACCTTGCTAGCATTTTTTAGTTTGCGTCCATAACTTGTAAAGTGTTCTCAGATTACGTGCTGGGAATATAAATTGGCAAGAGCCTGGGGCTGAGCTGGCCTGAGTGCAAGTCCCCTCTCCGTCCCTTTTGTGATCTGAGCCCTGCCTCTGTCACCTCTAAAGTGTGTTGTTCTGGGGGGAGGATGAGAGGACACTTCCTCGGCCTCAGCCTGCGGGGCCCATCTCTGGGGATTGTGTTTCAGTTGATCCAGTGTGAGGAAGAGCCCAGCACCCCGAAGCCCAAAATCGAGCTTCCCGGGCGGTTCCACATCCGGCCAGTGACCCCGGTGGAGAAACACATCAAGGTTTGAAAAGATTCTTTAAATACTTGTTTAAGCAAGAACTTGCCCCACCAGGAATGGTGTTTGCTCCAGGTGGGCCAAGCCATCCCCACGGGATGGATAACAGCAGTGCCCGGCCCGTGGGGAGGCAGCTTTCCACACCCTTTCCACGGGTGACACGGCCAGTCACTGGTCCCTACATGCGCAGGCCCTTGAAGGCCAGAGGAAGGAGCTGGGATTTGAGCCCAGTTTTCAGGAGAAGCAGGGCTGCGGTGTGCTGAGAATTGCCTTGTTCAAAGATCGCTCTGGTTACTGAGTGAGCGATGGGACAACCCGGTGGGGAAGACGCAGGTGATGTTCCCACCTGAGCCAGCCAGCTGTGGACCTGGGGCAGATGCCTCAAGGAACTGCTGAGCTCTGTACATCCCTGGGTCTAGGCTCACGGGCCTGTCTTTTTAACCCTGAGTTCTGCCCTCTGCCCAGCCCTGGAGAAAGACGCAGTTCTGTGTCCTGATGGGGAGAGGGGACAAAAACTCAGGATGAAGGCGGCCAGGGGTGCGGAAGTTAGGCTCCTGACACGCCCTCAGGGTCTGATGAGGACACACCTTTAAGAAACACCCTTGTAGACACAGTGTTTGCTCCCCATCGATAAGTTTATTGGGATAGGTGCCCAGAAACGTAGTGGTTGTTCAGTGAAATACACACCCCCCCACATACATGGGGAGCTCGCTCTGCTCACGGACACCCTGACTGGACCCCCAGAGCTGCCCAGCAGACAGACCAGGAGGGATGGGAAGCAGGGCTGGGTTTTAAATGTGGGTTTTAATCCAACTCCCTACCCCCATCTCCACCCCAGAAGGGGACACGGTGGTGAGGGATCCTCCGTCTCTCCCAGCCACCAGCGGTCCCCATACATGCCTTGCCCTGGTGGAGATAGACCCCTCCTTCTGCCCCGGTACCTGCTCCAGCCAGGCAGCTGCGACCAGAATCAGCATCCTTTCAGGGGAAGCATGCCCTCCTGGAGATCAGAACGGAATCTCCTTCTGGAGGGAGAAGACAGGAAGTGCCCTGGGGTTGGAACAAAACGGAACATGGTGTCCTCCTGTGTGAGCTTCTGCTTAGGAGAAGGGCAGGGTGTGGTATAGCATGTACATGGCGTGCACGAAGTCCTGGGTTCAATCCCCAGTACCTCTGTTACAAAATAATCGTAAAAAATAAATAAAACCTAATTCCATCCCCCCCAAGAAAAAACAAAAATAAAATACTGGGCTTTAAAAAAAATGTAGGAAAAAAATGAATAAGAAAAATAAAAGTTTTTACCAAAAAGATACAGTTATGGTTTAATAGGTATTCTCTACCCAAAGGGCGTGCTGCGAAAAGCCGCCCTCCCTCCCCTGCTCCCAGGAGCCGTTTTCCCCAGTGGCTCCGCACTCTTCCAAGATGGGATGTGGGTATGTGGGTCTCTAGCCTTTTTTTTGTCCACAGATTATACCAGGTTGTACGTGTTTTTATGTATCTTTTTTCTCTTAGCGGTTTATCATCAAAGTTGTTGCATCTCAGAACACACAGAGCCACCTAATTCTTTTAAGCTGCCGAGCAGTCTTCCCCGGCGCAGAGGGGCCGTGGCTGAATGAGCCCCCCGTGGATGGACACGTAGGCGGCGTCCAGTTACTTGCTATTACAGATAGGGCTGTGTTGCCTCCCTGACACTCACACTGGTGTGTACGTATGTGGGTGTCGGAATGTCTTAGCATAAATGCCCAGGGATGGACTGTCAGCTCAGAGTGTTTGCATTTTTATTATTCGTAGATTTCATTTTCGTGGATAACAACAGTGTTGCCCATCATGGAGAATGAACGAGGGTGCTCCCACAATGCCTTTAATTGTTAATGGCGGTTGTTTTCATCTCTTTGCCAACTTGGTGGGAGAAATGTGACATCCAGGGTGGTTTTTGACTGCACTTCTTTTACCAGTTAGGGATAGACTTGAAAGCTAGTGGGTGGGTTTCTGAGGTTCTCCCCTGGACGAGCACCCAGGAGACCTTGCTGGCTGGAGGACGCTGGCCCCTCTGGCATTGATTCCTGACCCTCCCGGCATGTGGCCTCTCCAGAGATTAATTTTCATACTTCATCAAGAACAGATGTTAAGGGGCTTCATCCCCCGGTGGCAGCTGGCCAACTAGGACCGTCCCCTCCCGCCTCCACCTCACTCAGACAGCCTTTGAGCTAAGCGTGAGCTCATAATCCAAGCATATTAAACCTGTCCATCTCAGCTCTGCTCCACAAGTACTCCTCACTGCGGTCTTGGTTCAAATCATCCTGTAAGAGCAGATCAGGAGGTTATTTCAAACAGAGGGAGGAAACCTGGGCAAACATTTACCCTCTTTTTCCAAAATGTTTCCAAATTTCAAGGAATTGACAAACGCAATTTTTTTTCCATTCAGTTGGGGTCCCGTTTCCCTTTTGGTTTTTAATTCGATTCAATTGCTTTTCACTTCTATGGTGTCTATGGTTTGAGGTATGTGAGTGTGTGTGTGTGTGTGTGTGTGTGTGTGTACACACGTATCATAAAGCTTTCTAATCAAAGCTGGAAGGTGTCTAACTGCCAGGATACCATCTAACAATAGTGCCATATATTTTATAAAGGTCACTGCGGGCCGTAATATTTGGTATTTCTGCACATTAATTTTCCTCCTTTTTGCTCTTTTACCAGAAAAAAATATATTTTACTAGAGGTCGTAAATTAAATGTGCTAAGCATTCCAAGATAAAGAAACATTGGAGAGGATGTGGAGAAAAGGGAACCTGTTTGATAATAGCCATGCTGACAGGGGTGACGTGATGCCTCGTTGTGGTTTTGATTGCATTTCCCTGACAATTAATGCCTTTGAACATCTTTTCGTGTGACTGTTAACCACTCGTACATCTTCTTTGGAAAAATGTCTATTTAGGTCCTCTCCCCATGTTTAAATCAGGTTGTTTGTTGTTTTGATGCTGAACTGTAAGAATTCTTTGTGCATTTTGGATACTAACCCTTAATATTGGATACTTCATTCACAAATGTCTTCCCCCGTTCAGTAGGCGGCCTTTTCGTTTTGTTGATAGTGTTCTTTTCTGTGCAGACGAAGTTTTTTAGTTTGATGTAGTCTCGTTTGTTTATTTTTGCTTTTATTTCTCTTGCCTGCAGAGACATATCCAAAAAATACATTGCTAAGACCGATGTCAGAGAGTGTACCACCTATGAGTTCTCCTAGAAGCTTTATGGTTTCGGGTCTTCCATTTGTCTTTAATCCATCTGAGTTCATTTTTGTGTACGATCTGAGACGTAGTCCGGTTTGAGTCTTTTGCATGTAGCTGTCCAGTTTTCCCAACACCGTTTACCGAAGAGGCTTCTTTCCCCATTGTATATTCTTGCCTCCTTTGTCAGGGATTAACTGATCACAAGTCTGTGGGCTCATTTCTGGGCTCTGTGTTCTGTTCCAGTGATCTATGTGTCTATTTTTGTGCCAGTACCGTGGTTCTGTCTTTTCCACACCAGGCCCATGCACCAATCCTGACGCCTCCATGGACACACATCATGTGTCTGTGGCCCACGGCAACCAAACCCCTTGCATTTATCTTCCAGGTGCTTCCATCCCCCCCATTCCCAAAGACGACGCAGGGCTTCATCGGCTGGAGATCCGGGGTGCCAGGCCTGAACAAGTGTCTGGAGCACGACAGTGAGATCAGAAGCTGCAAAGGGGCATACGCCAAGGAGCTGAACTGGCCGAAGCAAGGCATTCACTGAGTCCAGATGGAGACTCCGGCCCCTGGGGCAAGGAAGGCTAGACCACCGGGCACCTGCTGCCCACGCTCAGGGAAGGAAGAGCTCCCCAGTCTCCCCTGAGGGACGTTCTCCTCCACATTTGCTCATGGGACGTTGTTGCAGGAAACACAGAATCACGCTCAGACATTTTCAACTCATCAATGCCTCCCTTCCAGAACATTCTTGTAACATATTCATTCTGGGCTAATGCAATGAATAAGGCAAAGTAGAGTCTCTGAAATTTTTTTTTAACACTTTGGGAATGTCTAGGTATAGCTTTAGAAAAAAAACAGTGTGATTTCATTTTTTAAATGTTTGTCTAAACCCTCGAATGTCACCTTCACCCCCTACCCCTCACCATCCTGATTATAAAAAGATTGGTGGCCAACTGTTTCTGTACCCAAATACCCCTGAGCCTGTTTTTCAGGAGGAATAAAGCATTTTAAGGATCCCTCGACACTCCTTTCCCAGAGTATGTGCTATACTTCAACAGTGTTAGAGCAGAAATGAGCCGAAGACTCGCCGCTGAGTGAGGAGTCCCTGGAGGGGACGGGTTTCCCAAGTGCTCCACAGGATCCCTTCCCCACTTACCTGGTCAGGCCACCCCATGGAAACACAGACAGCAGCCCAGCTGGCCAACTAAGCCACTGTCCTTCCCTCATGGACATTTGACATTAGCCCCTTGGTCAACATTTTATTTCCAGCCCCTGCCTGTCCCTGAGGCTATGCTTCAGTTCCTGCAAATGGGGGTGTGGGGTGGGAGTGGGGCATCCAGCTGGGGAAAGAGGGTGGAAAAGACCAGTCAGCATGCACACAGCCCCTGCCAGCTGGACCCCAGGGAGTAGGAGGGCAGCAGACGGCCTGTGAGAGCTGGTTTGTGCTTTGTATCTGAGGAGCAGAGGCTGGTTCCTTCTTCAGACCTGGGATGTGCGGGGTGGGAGGAGCCACATCAGTTACCTGCCCTCCACGGAGATGCATTCCCTCCCTTTGGCTGGTCAAGCATCACTGTTCTTAGGATGAGTTTCTCCCTGTGTTTGCTTGACTGAGGGGGACCTGGGGACACTTGAATCTGGTGGTATCCACCTCCAGGGCCCATCTGTCCAGACGTTTCCTCTGAGCACATCTCCTTCACTGACCTTGACCCAGGCTATGTCTGTAAGAGACCAGGTCACGTGGCTCACTCAACTCCAGAGGTCCTTCCCACCACCCAAGCGTCTAGCTTGCTCTAGACTCAACAACAGGGTGCTCGGCCAAGCCCATCCCTTTGACATCCTGATGTTTCAGTGTTTCGGTCATCACTGTAGGCGAGGCACCTACCCCAGAAGAAACCCATGCTCCTTGTCATGATCAGATGCTGCCACCACAGTTGAGCAGAGGAGGACCTCTTCCGAGGGTCGCCTCGGCCCCACCAGGATCACACTTCCAACTGGCTGCCGTGCGTGGGGCAGCACAAACCCATGGCTCCAGACATGAGTTTGAGCTCAGATGTTGCTTTTTGTTCTAATTCCTAATCATAAAATGAATCTGAGCACCATCTTCCACAACAGTTTGACAACAAAAAAGCTTAGCAAAAAAAGATGGGCTCCTGTGAACTGTCTGGACCCCAAGCCTGGACTGGAATTCAGCATGTCCGGTTTGACTCTCCTGAAACTTGCTGGTAGGTTGACTTTAATTCTGACTCTATCTGGCTGGTCTGTGTTGACCAGCAGCCTGGCTTTAGGGAGACTGGACAGCAGATACTGTCAACAGAGATGGTGAGCTGGAGGAGGAGAGCAGGGCACACCCCGGGGGGAGCAGCGGAACCTTCACAGGGACCAGCGGTCGGGGCTGTAGGGGCTTTCAAAGCTGTCCTGGCCCCTGTGGTCACTGCGTACCAGTGGAGGAAATGAGCCCGTCTCTACTTTGATCTGTGTTAAGTCCAGTTCCTTGGGAGAATGAAAGCTCCAGAGACTCAGGTCAACTCTGTGCCCTGTTGGTGGGAATGTAAATTAATGCAGCCACCATAGAAAACAGTAAAGGAGGTTCCTCAAGAAATTAAAAAGAGAACGGTCATCTGGTCCGCAGCCCCCCTTCTGGGTATATAGCTGTGAGAAGCGAAATCTCTGTTTCAAAGAGACATCTGCAACCCCAAATTCACTGTAGCATTTTTCACAGTATCCAAGATATGGAAACAGCCCAAGTGCCCATTGATGGATGGATGGATAAAGAAAATATGGTGTGTGTGTGTGTGTGTGTGTGTGTGTATATATATATATATATATATATATATATATAATATATGTATATTATATATATATATATTACAATGAAATATTATTGTCATAAAAAGGAAGGGATTCCTGTCACTTGCAACAACACGGATGGACATGGAAGACGTAATGCTAAGTGAAATAAGTCAGAGAGAAAGGCAAATACTGCATGATTTCATTCACCTGTGGAATCTAAGAAACCAGACTCATAGAAACGGAGAACTCAGACGGTTGTCAGAGGTGGGGGTGGAGAAATGGGGACGGGAGTCAAAGGCACAAACTTCCAGTTATAAGATAAGTGAATTCTGGGGATGTAATGCACAGTATGAATACTTTAAGTTTCTAGATTTCTTTAAAAGGAGAGAGAGGGAGACTCAGATCAAAATCTAAAGACACACACCCCCTTCAGGCAGTGAGAACACAAATGCATTTCAATTTCTAGGAGATTATTGGATGCTTTCTCTACCCCTTAATTTAGACGGCACTCACTCCAAGTTTCTATACATGTGTTTAATGCCCCACAAAACTACTTCGACTTAAAACACTAAGGTTCTGATCCTTGTTTGCCCTTTTGCTCTTGTCAATACACAGACAGCTGGGTTTTCTAAACTAACCAACATCTCGGAAACGTCAGTTGGTGGGATTTATTTTTCCTATCTCCGATAATTTATTCATCAACTAACCACGTCTGTGTTTTATTTAAAAATTAAAATGAGGCAACATTTCTGCAAGGATCAAATTACACTGCCATGGTCCTCCCCGCTCCCACGGGCCCTTGGGACCCAGCCTGAGCTCAGTAATTTGGGCTGCACTGGTGGGCTCATAATGAACACTTACGTCCAGTCAAGGGCTTCTGTTGAGAATGGAGGTGGACAACACGGGGGGATTCCATTAGCCTGGACAGTTTCAAACTTGACGTTTAATCTGTGGAAATCAACCTCTTTGTGGGTGTCCAAATGGGCTCATAAATGTCACCACACACTGAAATACCACAACATTTCCAAGGACAAGACGAGGCTGGTGAACCTGGGTACCCAATGCTGAAACACATCACAGCCATGAACGTCCAGAAGGGCCTCGGCCTCAGTGAGTGACCCCCAGAATGAAGCCAGGCGTAAGCGGGCTGGGGACTCAGAACGGATTCTGTCACAAGCACAGCTCAGTCCAAGACAAGTTAGAAATGCTGAAGTTTGAGTTTCAAGAAAATGACATGATCGAATAAAATAAATCTATCGGAAAACAAGACTCTTGGTCTTTCATGTTCAAATACACCTGAGTACAGCGGTCCCCGTGGCACTGGACTTCGAACACTCACGCCCTGGACCAGACGTGCCTGCGAACTTAGAACTCTGCGGATTTTAGGTGGCATGTGTCCTGTATTGTATACGTGCACTGGTACAGTCTAGGGCAGCCCCACGAAGTGAAATCCATCTGCAGTTTTGTAGCAGAACATCTGAATAGTCACACGAAATGGAACCAAGATTCTAAGGAGCCACTGATCCGTTTGGTTCAGATTTTGCCGCCAAATGAGCTTTGCTGTCCAATAAATACCAGTATTTCTGGACTTGGTAGTGTTCGGGAGTTTGGAATTGGTAATAGATTTATTTGGGACGTAAAATGTTGCCACCACTTTCTGGATGAGGTTACACAGTTCTGTGGCTCCCTTCCTGTCACTGTCTCCTCTCCTTCCCTCTCCCTGTCTGTCTCTCTGATGAAGCCAGCTGCCATGTCAAGAGATGCCCAGTGGAGATGCCCACCTGACAAGGAACTGAGGGAAACCACTGTCCAGCAGCTCCTGTGGCCTTACTCCAACAGCCCATAAGGAACCAAGTCCTGCCAACGATCATGGGAAATACCATGAAACATCCTTCATGAAGCTCTTCCTTAAAATTGCAGAAGCTGGATCAGCGTTCCAGGTGACAGTCACCATTTTAAGTGTGAGGGACAAAGCCAGAAAAGTAATTCACAATCCCTCTGTCTCCAAATGACACTTTAAAATTGTCTCCACAGGTCCACCAAGGGCCAAGGTCACTTCCCTTGTGTCAGTGGGAAGTCAAGCGGGGTGGTGTGGGCTGGGTGAGAGCGGGGCTCAGGACTCAGGCTGGCCTGCATCCAAACCCCACCATCGCCTTTCAGACCGTGTGGCCTTGGGCAGGAGGCCGGACCACCCAGATCCCTGATTCCCCAGCTGTGAGGTGAGGACACAAGCTCAGTCTCACGGGAGGTGGTGTGAGGATTCCTGAGGATGAGGATGGAAAGGCTCGGCAGAGGAGAGACAGAAGGCAGATGTTAGCTCCATCCCTCATTGCACAGGGATCGAGTCCACAGACGCGGGGTGGAGGTGGAGTCCGCAGGCGACAGGCCCGGCCGCACTGCTCAGCCAGGGGGCTGGTGCTGCTCCTGTCACTCACGTCCTTGTGGATGGAAACGCCTCTCCCTCCATGAAGTGAGGCTGTCCTCAGGCTTTTCGGTGACGTGTACAACATCTCTGCAGCACCTGCCATGTTTAAGGGTTGGCTGTTGCCAGAGCTTCAAAAGCTGGGAGCACCTTCAAAAATCCATGAATCAATTAACCTTCCCTCTGTACCCCCATAAAAAAATTAATGTCTTTCTGGGGCCATTCATCCAAATTTTACAAGCGAAGCCCAGGACAGTCGTGGATTTTACACTCGCCGCAGGTACTTGTAGTTCTAGGAGGTGACCTGATCGGGTTTGTGTTTTAGGAGACGATCGTGAGGTTAGAAGGCTGTGTTCTACCCGATGGGTCACACTTCTGATTAGATGAGACGCAAACGATGACTCCTGGAGAGGCCACGGTTTTTGGAATCCCAGGCACCCAGGAGAGAGCCGCCCGCTTGCTCCCCCAGAGAAATGAGGCTCTAGTGGACACAGCGGTGGTCTGTGTGTTTGCGCGTGGGTGTGAGTGACTGTGCGGGAAGCTCTTTTAATTAGGAAATAAATCTTGCTCTCAGTGTCTGACTGTAACACTCCCATGGGGATGCACATAGAATGTTGATCTGGGCACAGGGCAGAAAACACAACCAGCCCTGGAGACAGAAACCAGGGCTTGGGGTGCCCACAGAAGGGGTGCATGGCCCCAGCTGAGCCGGCTGGTGCCCCTTATAGGAAAAGGGAGGCTGGAGAGCCACTGAAGGCGGGGAGGATAAAACCAGGGCCAATGTTGATCACGTTTATTGGGTCTCCGCTAAGTGCCAGCAGAAGAGTCAGACCCCACCTTCGCTGTTTGCCTGCTGACGCCTTCCTTGTAAGCCTCACCCCTCCCTCTCCTCTGCTGAGCGCATCTGGGCACACTGGTAAGGAAGCTCCTTTGGCCCCGGAGGGAAGTTCAGACCATGCATGGGAACCCTCACCCCCACCCCAGCCCCTTGCCACCATCCAAATCCCAGATCAGTCTCCTTTCCCAACTTCCCTTTTTAAGACCAGCTTGGGAAGGCTGCCCTGCTCCCCCAGGAGTCCTCGTCTGGCAGGTGATAGATTTGTTCCTGCGGTCTTGGTGTGCGCGACGCCATCAATCTCTACGTAGGACCACATCTCTGCAGGTTGACTGGCTGACCACGGCAGCCAGATACCACACTGAGATCATGTCATCTTCACAGCGATCGGGCAAACGCAACCCTGTTACGAGCTCCTGTTGCAGGAGGAGAAACAGAAGTTACACCAGGTGAAGTCTTGCCCAGGCTAGAGCCGGATCTCAAATCCCACCTGCGTGACTCAAGAGATGCCACAACCCCGCCCTGGGAACGGTCCACATGCCGGACGCAGCTGCTCCCTCTGCCAGGACACACCTGTGTGAGGACCCGAAAATCCCCTCCCGTCCCCAGGATCCCACCCCTCATCCCCAGAACCTGTGGCTCTGCGGAGACATCACGGTTGTGATGATACTACATTTCACGGCATCTTTGACCTCACACTGGGGGGATCATCTGGATTATCTCATGGGCCCAACATAATCACATGAGCTCTGAAAAGCGGAGGTGGATTAAACAGATAAGCAAGTTCATACTGCGTATATAGCACAATATCCTGCAGTATCCTAGAATGAAGACGAGAAAGAATATGAACAGGAGTGTATGCACGTACGACTGAAACGTGGCGCTGGACACCAGAAGTGGACACCACATTGAAAACTGACTATACTTCAACTGAAAAAGAAATAACTAACTAACTGTGAAATTTGAAAAAACAAAAACCTGGAGGTGGAAGGGGAAGTCAGGAGATTTGAAACACGAGAAAGATCTGATGTGTCGTCAATGCTTTGAAGACGGAGGAGACCATGTGAGAAGGGAGGTGGCAGCCTTTAGAAGCTGGACAACAACCAGCAAGAACACGGGAAGCCCAGTCTTACCACCACAAGGAGCTATATTCTGCCACGAACCTGAATTAACCCAGGAAAGGGTGGTCTCGAGGAGCTCGGGCAGCCTTGAGAGATGCTAAGCAGAGAGCATTGGAGCCAGCCCGGATTTCTGACCCGCCGAGCTGAGATGATAAAGGAGAGTTATTTAAAACCCCTAATAGCGTGGTCAGTGAGTACAGCGGCAATGGAAAACTAAAAGCTACAACACCAGGTGTGCCGAGAAGGCAAGGCCCTGGACCCTTTCTCAGGGCTGAGCTGCAGCAAACAGCCCTGAGGGACAGGCCTGCTCGCTACTGGCTGTGAAAGGCCTGGCTCCCAGGCTCAGGGCTCCTCAGCCGTGACTCAGACCCAGCACGGTGCCCCCGTGGAGCCTGAGGGTGAGTGACACACATGATGACGTTCACGCAGCTTATACAAGGAGCAGGTAGCATGTCCTTTGTCCCTGACCCAGGCGTCCCGTGTCTGCTGCCAGCGTTCGTATGTCAGTAACTTCTCAGCTTAGGAGTGAAGTCCAGTCGAACCCCAGACCCGGCAGCATGTCCTTCCCTTTCACTACTAATCTCCAACTTGCTTTCCACCTTCAGCCGGCAGCGCTGCCTGGGGGTGGCCTTCTCTGCCCGGTCACCCCCCCACCCCACGCTGTCAGAAACACACGCCCCACTGCTTCACAGCAGCCAGCAGGCTTACCTGTGTTTGTGTAATATGTTTCACTATGATTTCACTCCCCTGCTGGCCTGCTGTTCCCGGTAAGCCAGGAACTGTGTCTAGTTTTTCCCACCATTACACACACAGTGTCTAGAACAATACCCAGCACGTAACAGGTGCTTTGTATCTGTTGAAAAAAGGAAGATACTCAAGATACTGAGTCACGGCCGTTCAGCCCCGAGAGTCATGGTCCAAAGTAATCTTCCTAACACAGAGCTCTAATCAAGGCACAGGCACCGTGGGTGTTCAGTATGTGCTCTCCTCAACACACATGCGAAAGGCAAATGTTTAACATCTTAGCAGTCGCTTTACGTGCCGTAAGGAAGTTTCTCTTCTCAGAAAGTGGAACTACTTTAACGAAGTCCCTACTCACCCTTTGCCGTTTGGATGTGCTGCTTAGGGCCAGGGTTCAAAGTCAGTTCCTGCCACCTTCTGTTGTTGTTTTTTTGAGACTGAGCAGGAAACCATCAGATCTGCCTCCCGTGGCACGAGCACCCACTTGGCGGGGAATGTGCCCTGTTGTCCAAGACACGAGCGATGGTGTTGTGTGTGTTAACTTGACTGAGCCACAGGAGTGCCCAGATTAAACGCTGTTTCTGGATGTGTCTGTGCCGGTAGGTGTTTCTGGGTGAGATGAGCATTTGCACTGGTGGACTGGGTAAAGCAGATCGCCTCCCCAAGGGGGTGGGCATCAGCCAATCCATCCCAGGGCCTGAATAGAAGAAAAGGCAGAGGAATGAGGGATTTGTGCCTTTTTCTTCCTGCCTCACCGTTTAACCTGGAACATCTTGTCTCACGTTCTCCTGCCCTTGGACTGGGATTTACAACATCTGCTAAACTCAGAGTGGGACTGCATCACCAGCTTGCCAAGGGCAGATCATGGACTTGTCATCCCCCATAATCACATCAGCCAATTCCTCATAGTAAATCCTTAGATGGTACATAGATAGATAGATAGATAGATAGATAGATAGATAGATAGATAGATAGATAGATAGATAGATAGATATATGGATAGATGGATTGATAGATGGATTGATGGATGGACAGATGGATAGATAGATGGATAGATAGATAGATTGATGGATAGATAGATGGATTGATAGAGGATTGATGGATGGACAGATGGATAGATGGATTGTTAGATGGATAGATAGATGGACAGATAGATGGATAGATGGACAGATGAACAGATGAATAGATGGATGGATGGATGGATGGATAGCTTTCCTATTATTCGCTTCTCTGGGGAGCTCTAACACTTACCTGTCTTGGCTGCAAGGGCCGTAATGTGGGAGAACTTGGCTTCTCTCCCCTGGTTCCAGCAAGCTCCTGTCTCCCCACTCATTTCTGTAAAATCATTATACCAAAATACAGGAGTGTATTCAAAGACTCATGCCAGTGAAAGCCAAGGCATTCTAAGTGTAAATTTTCCCAATTCTTTACATGTTTTTGAAAAATATTTTCTGATTTTTTATGTCTAAATTACCGTTAAATAGTATGCAAGTTAAACCAAATATGCCACCAGCCCCACTTTACAATTTCTAAAACAAACTCATATTTCCCAACGCTTCTCTGACATCTCTATTTGGATGTCTAAAAGACATCTAACTTAACATGTCAAATATTAAATTCTTGATTCCAGCAGTCACCTCCCCCTCCTCCCCAATAAACCTCTACCCCTCTGCGATGTCCCCGTGTGAGTCAATGGCCACAGTGTCATGGCAGCCGGGAGACTGGACTTCCCCTCCCTCCCCAAACCCAACAATCCTTCAGCAAACGGGTCAGTGTAACCCTCTACTTCACCTTCCACCATCACCTTCACCTCTGTAAAAGAACAAACGTGTAACACTGTGATGTACACCTTCTGTGGAGGTGATGGTGGATGGTGCAGTCCATGACAAAGGTGGCTGTGGTCAGCGCGTGCTGGCCTGGAGGGGAAATGTGTCACTTCTGTTCCTATCTCATCGCCCAAAGCAAGCATTTGCCCAGATCGGATTCAGAAGGGCCTGACTCAGCATAAAGAGAGATGCAATGAGGATGGAGCCATGCAGGCAGAACCAGGGGACCCTGGATAGACTACATTCCCCTTTTCCTGTGCATCCTTCTCCTCCTCACCTGACTGTTCCCCCACCCTTGTTCACCCATAATTGTTACTAAGTAGCTGCAGCAGACACTGTAAAAAAAGAAAAAACAGCATTGCTACTGAATTTCTAAGTTAGGCTACAAGGAGGAGACAACTGGGGCTTTGGAAAAACAAAAGGACATCTGTATCCCTTTCCCAAGTGGAGCAGTGTGAGATCCCCAAGGGGTAGGGGGGCTGAACATGCGTACAGTCTTCTTGGTTTCTGGAGAAAACTCATCAATAAAGGCTGCTTCCTCTGCTTTAAAAAAAAATGACTTGGAATAAAAGTGACATAAAAGGGAATGAGGTGCTGGGACAGGCCGCCACATGGATGAACTTCAGAAATGCGAAGCTAAGTGAAAGAAGCTAGACACAGAAGGTCCCTGCTGTATGGTCCTGCTCGTACAAAATGTCCACATCAGGCAAATTCATAGAGACAGAAAGTATGGGCTAGAGGAAGGGGGTTGGGGATTGACTGCTAGTGGGTAAGGAGTTTCCTTCTGGGGAGATGAAGATGTTTTGGAATCAGATAGAGGTGATGGTTGCACAGCACTGTGGAAGTACTAACCAGCGCTGAACTCCACACTTTAAGACGGCTCTTTTACAAATACATGTATGCATTTGCATGACTGGGGCATTGTGCGGCACACCAGAAACTGACACCTTGTAACTCACTGCACTTCAATCAATCTATCGATCAATAAAATATAAAACAGTTCTTTCCACGTCGTGTGAATTTCAGCTCAATTTTTAAAAATGCCTGGGAGTTTATTAAGTTGTTGATTCTGGGCGATACACATGAAATTGTGCTTTTATGTATTTTTCTACATCTGATATATATATGGAAATGTATATTACCCACGGCAGAGGGCAGGTTAAGCTCGACTGGCCCTCGGGCCACCAGTTTGCTGTGTCAGATTTCAGTCATCCACGGTGGCCGTTTGGTCATCACCCCTGTTGGCCATCACCACCCTGTGGACCTGCTTAGCAGAATCTTTCCCAGCCTCAGAAAGACTGTGCTGGTGGGATCAGAGACAAAAATAAATCTGCAGACTGGGCCAAAGAAGCCAGACACAAAAGAGAACGCACTGTATGACTCCATTTATATAAAGTGCAAAACATACAAAATGGATTGATGCTGAGGGAATCCGGGATGGTGGGGTCTTTTCAGGGTGGGGACTGAGGGTGGGGGCCCGGTCATGTTCTAGGTCTCCATCTGGTGGCACAGAACTGCTCCACCGGTGAAAACGCGAAGAGCTGAGCATCTGTGGTGAGTGCCCGTTCACTGTATTACGCTAGACCTCGGTATTCGAAAAGTTTAAAAATGATTAATAGATGCATAAATCCATTGGATACATTTACTTTCCTGCCAGGCCTTTGAAACGCTGGCCCAGGGCTTGGCTTCAGGCGGCCAGCCTCCAGGTGGGCAGGGCTGTGTCTCCAGCCCTCCACACCCTGTGTTTAGATGCCTTTTAAGGAAATCAGTGCACAGGAGGTGGACTGAAAATGCTTATCACAACTTCTTTCGTGGGCAGGGTTGCCTTCTCCCCACTCAGGGTTCCCCTTTGGAGGTCAGGAGGGGGGTGCCTCCGCCGTGCCCGCACAGGGGGCAGAAGGTCCAGCGCTGCTTTTGTGGACCCTGAGACATGGGCAAGGGAACAGGACTGGAACCAACCCGGCCCGAACTATTGTCAGGCTTAGAGTCAGGAAAAAAGACATGTAATTGTAGAGGGCAAACAGTTCTTTCATTTTTTCCGAATAAAAGCCGAATGCGTTGGTCCGTTATCAAGTCCTTGGAGAAGCTGCAGGCCCCCCGCCTGCTCTCCGTGGACGCACGGACATCCAGGAGGGAGCCCGGGAAGGGCTGTAGAAGAACAGTGACCACAACCCCCAGGATGGCCTTCCAGAGCCCCGCCCTCCACCCCAGCCAGGCCCGGGGGGCCCGGTCCTCTGAGCTGCGTCAGC